CATGCAGAAGCCTGGTTTGCCCCAAAAAATGTTCCTATAACCCAGTAACAGAGGTAATTGAAGCCACCCAGCAGACAGTCCTGTCAAGGGAAGCTATACTATCCTTAAAAATAATTGTGTCCCTCTCAGCAAAATAGTGTTTGGAGTAAGTATGCACTTTTTATTGGGAGAAAAATACCATCCAGTCTGCTCAACTTTTTAAAACAATGTTATATTTTTCCACATCATCATTCTGGCATCAAAGGAAATCATTCCTAATTATGTTTATGGATGGAATACACAAAGAGACCTAGATATGACAGTCTTGGAGAAGTGTGGAGAAATGTATAATGCAACACCTCTCAGAACATATACAATGCCATCTCTCCCCATGTCACTTACCTAGAATAAGAAACTTTGAAGTATAAGAAGTTCTGCTGCTGCAAGGTGCTTTAAGTGACAACAAGAAGGAAACAAACAACTGGCTGTAAATATTCTGCTTAGCTCCCCTATGCTGGGACTTGCAAAAGAAAATAGGTGGTTTTAAAGCAAAGTAAGTGAAACAAATGATAATTACCATTGTTTCCCAAGGTATGACAGGAGCATGAAAAATAAAGCACTGCTGTTGTGTTTTTGATGGTGCCCTACACCATGCTGTTCTGCTCTCCAGCTATTTCCTTCGAAGGAAAAAAACAGGTTCAAAAGTGTTCTAGCATCTGTGATGGCTTATCTGGAGCTGCCAAAGCCCAACAGTGAGGCTTCATCGCTTGTATAAGTTTTTTTGGGGATCATCCTTGTGTTTCTTCACATGCCAATGAGGTTATGAGGGGCAGGATTCCTCCTGACTAGTTTCAGCCCACTCCAAAGCAGACACAGTGTATCATCTCACCCCGCTCTGTAAATAACAGGCTAAGACAGGCACCTCCTGTCATGAAAGCCATGAACTTTTTCCCTTTGGAGGAAAGATGGGAGCTATGGTCCTCCAGAGGTACCTGCTTTCCCTAGTTACTGCACTACTGTAGCAAACATCACATCTACAAAAACTCCACCAGACAGATGCACGAGACAGAAGACAGGACTGCACCTAGACCCAGCTGAAGTAGAAACACCTTGATGAATTTTGACTGGTCTTTCTGTGGACACAAGAAAAAGATGGTGAAAGTCTTTGAATAGTCTTAGGGGTTTTAACAACTCAAGACATGCACCTTTCTCACAAGAGCAACAACTCCTGCTTGTTCTTGCTTTCCTCAAAAGTAATAGTGTTTTCTGGAGAAAACCTTGGATTTCAGGACTGTCCAAGCACTGATCCTAGCACTTCCAGAGCAAAGCATAAGCACTTTGCTTCAGCTCTTTCCCAGTTACTTAGCTGTTACACTTTTCACTGTATTGCTTGTGTTGGTACCTTTCCTGAAATATAAAGCTGCTAGAAGCCAAATTTCTGCTCCCATCTCACAGAAGTTCTCACTTCCAAAACCCCAACAAACACCTGTTGTGGAAGATGTAGCACCTCCACCCTAATCCATCATCCAGCTGATGACTTCTGGCTGTTGTGCCTTCGTTTTGCTTGTGGTACCAGAACATTTTGCTCCTTTCTCCCAGCCAAGTGCACAGTCAGAACAGTCGTGCCCAATGCACCTGAGGTCAGCATGGACAGACACACAAAAGTACAGCACTTCTGCACTTCCACCCAGATCAGCCAAGTGCTGTATTCTTCTCAATGGCCTCCTCAAGGGCTTTTGGAAGCTATAAGCACACAAACCAGCCTGTCCCTGCCACGTGAGACAAACAGTAAGAATCTTCACACCACATATGTTACCGGTCACCCTGTTTTGTGAACTTTTTGGAGGGAGAAAAACAAATAAAGTGGCATGCAGCAGCACCCATTACTTGGGGATTTTATCACACAGGTCATCAACCAGCTATCAGGCAGTGTGCAACCCCCAGTAAAGTTCAATCAGCAACCTCAGGATAGAAGACTATATTCTGGTTACCTCAGATAACTAATTCCCTGTGGAATATTTTCTAAAGATACAACACATTATTTATTTTGTTAGCTGAAACTGCTTTATAGAAGAGTCATTTAAACAAGACAATCTAGTTCTACAAACTCAACAATGCATTTTCCAACTAGTTTATTTTAAGAATTTGTCACCTGACAAAAGCAAGCAATTCTTCACCTTAAGGAAACAGCTCATTTATCAAACCACAGTAATTTCTTGTACAGTACATTTATTCCTGCTGCATACACATTCAAATAAACCTCCTACATCAGCATTCCCAAATGAAACTCTGACTAGCATCATTAACTCTGGATCAGTACTGAGTGCAGCTGACCCCAACCAGCTCTGCCTGCAGCACTGAAGTAGCTCTCCACACCACGCAGCCTCACGGTGCTGATGGTCAGTAGCACTAGCTTCTCCACATCAGAGTAAAGTCAGCAGCATTTCCTAGCTCATCCTTCAGGAGTGCCAAAGAGGCTGTGTCGCATCCCCATCTGCCCTTGTCACCACTGGAAGGCAGAGCCAATAAATCCCGTCAGGATCAAGCCAGCATGTACTCAGCACATCTGCAGACAAAGTAACTCACTCTCTTTTCCTCCTGCCCCACTCTACACCGATGCTTTTAGCATCACAGATATGGGTCATGAGAAGAAAATTAAATTTACCACTTTGTTTTCTATTCACTTAAAGCTGGGATACAATTGGAAGTGACATTTCTGAAAGGCTACCGAAGCCTAGTTAACCTGTTCTCAAGGCTGAGGAACTTGCTGGATCAAGAGGGAGCTAAAGGTAGCAGAGGCAGTAATTGCAGTAAGACCCCTGCCCTCCTTCATGTGAACTATATTTCTCCCTCTCTTCTTTCCCATCTGCTTTTTCTTCTTTTCCCACGACTCCTTTTTCCCCCCTCCCTCTTGCACACACCAGGCCAGCAACTGTGCTCAACACCAGCTAGATTGGAACTCATTCCTGTCATCTCAGAATCATGCTATTGTTAAGGCTGGAAAAGGATTCCAAGATGACCAAATCCAACCATTTACTGTGTCACACAACTGAAAGCAGAGACACAGAACCCCGGCACACCACCATGAGAATGAACATTACCTGCCACATGGCAACAGATTACACAGGAAGAAAGGAGGAAGAAAAAAAAAAAAAAAAAAAAAAAAAAAAAAAAAAAAAAAGAAGGGAAAAGGGAAAAAAAAAGAGGGAGTGACAAATCTTTCAACAATACACCTTGGAACTGGTTTCTCCCTTCCCTGGTTAAAGAGTTACTAGCTTACTAGCTTCCTCTTCTCTGAGATAATGCCTTCTGTTTAGAAAAAATATTGCGAGAATATACTCCACGAGGAGTCAAGAGCATATTGCATCTCAACCACACACACAACTGAAGTGCCTGAATTAGAAACCTAGCAGGCCTCAGGTTTCTGTTACAGCCCACTCGAAACAAGAAGTGTGTTCTGAACACACCTCCTCCCTGTTAAGCACAGCCCTACAAGCAGCAAGACTTAAAATTTTACAAATACCACCAAAGTGGCATAAGTCAGGGACTAAATACCAATTAGCTCCCCTGCCCAAGAAAAGGCTTTATTTCAAAGCCAACGTGACCAACGTGACTAAAGCATGCATGTGATGGAGCACAGTCAAAGTCTGACCCTGTCAGATCACTCAAAATGCAAGATACTTGAAGCACTTGAATGCAAAGTAACTTTCAAAGCTTGAGGCAATGCACAAGCTTGCTCCTGCTTTGTGCCAGGGTCAGCACTTGCAGCTAAGGAGCCTGTGCCATCACACAGTCTTTTGCATTATATGGAAAGCTTGTCCAAAAAACATGTCCAGATGGCCACTGAAGGTAACAGAAGTCCATAGAGCACCTGACCAGAAAGATACATTTCTGCCTGCTCTTTCCAAGTTCTCATTGTATTTGCCTCTAACTTGGAGACAGCAGACAGTCAAGCATCAGCGAGTGAACAAATGGCTTCAAGAGGCATTGCTGTGCCACTGCAGAGGGTCCCACATGACACCTACATTGCCATGCATGACTACAACTTCAACACTTGTCCCTGTGGCTTAGCACAGTCCACAGAGCTGGGCAAAGGGAGGCAGGATAGGGTATCCACTAGTTCAGCTGATGTTGGACTTCACCATGCAGTCGCTGCTCAAGCACAAAGTAACGTTTGCAAACGACCACAGACAAGTGAGCCGGCTAACTCGTGAACCTTCAGCACCATTATCATCAGCTCTTCGGCCCAGATCTGCAGCCTCTCTAGAGCTGCAAATGCCTTTCTGTTACGACTCCATACAGCACCTACCAAAAGACCACCTTGCTCCAAAACTAAGGTATCTAGCCGCCGACAACAGAGCTAACTAGCAATTTCCTATGTAGTCTCAATCTTCCTCTCCAGCCTTAGCTACATACAAATTTCCTCTTAAGGATTTTTAGTGGGTTCCCTTGCTCCACCCCATCTGCTACCCACAGTGACACATATATATGCAGAACACGGTAAGACCCCATCTGTTAGAACAGCTGCCTGCAAAGCGCTGACAGTCCAAATGGACATAATTCCCTGTCCTGCTCACAGGAGCAGGTTCGGGAGCAGCAGGCTGCAAGAACTCCTGGGATACGGGCCTGGCCATGAGCCCCATGGGCGATACCCCCGTTCTCGGTAAATTCTCAGTCTCTTTTGCAATCTGACGAAGGAAGCAAAGCACAGCATGGCAGCCCCTCGGGAGCCACCCTGGCTACGGGGAAGGGCGTCAGGGACACGGCCCAGGGTCTCTCCTCGGCACCTGGGCCTTCACCTCCAACACAGCACGTTCCCTGCTCGCACCGCAGAGAAGACAGGCAAAAAAGGGCCGTGGGTGGGGGTCAGGCGAGGGGAGGGAGGGAGCGCTGCGGCAGGGACGTGCCGCGGGGCCGGCGGGCCGGGCGGGCCGGGAGCGCGCAGCGCCGCGCCGCGCCCGCCGCACCGCGCAAAATGGACGCACCGCGAGGGGCCCCCGCCCGCTCCGTCCCAGACTCACCCAGCCGGGGGGCTCGGGCAAGCGGCGAGGCAGCGCAGCCGCGACCCCCAGCTCCCCGCTGCCGCTTTAGATCTCCTGCGCGGGCCCGCCCGCCCGGCCGTACCTCCCAATGAATGGGAGGCGCTGTTCCACGTGGGAAGCGCTCTGATGCAGAGATGGGGGGGGTGGGCTGATGATGGAGGGGGCGCCGGCCTGTGGGAGGCCGGCGCATGGCCGGGCGCGGGAGAACCGCGTGGCTGGGCGCGGCCGCGGAGATCGCCTCCGCGGGGCAGGGAGGGGCTGCACAGACCAGCTCCCTGCACAGCGCTCATGCCGCGCCTTTGGCGTGGACTGAAAAGCTACTCGGTTTTTCTTTTTCTCCTCATGCTCCCTGATGTCTCACTCCCTGGGAGTGAGAACTGAGAGGCTGGGTTCGACTAAAACATCCATTCAGCTGTAACACACATCCTGCTCTAAGAGCTGATGGATTCTGCAGAACATGGTTGAGCAAGAGATGCCAGCGTGAAATGGATGCAGTTGGCATCATAGAATGTTAAGGTCTGGGAATGGACCTCAAAGGTCATCCAGTCCTCAACTCTCCTGCTGTGGGCAGGGACACCTCCCAGTCCACCAGGTTGCTCAAAGCATTATCCAGTGTGTCCTTGAAGACTGCCAGGGTTGTGGTAACCACAGTCTCCCCGGGCAACCTCTTCCAGTGTTTCACCACCCTCAGAGTAAAAAAATTCTTTCTAATATTTAACTTAAGTTCCTCCCTTTTCAATTTTTACCCATTACTTCTTGTCCTATCAGTACAGTTCCTGATGAAAAGTCCCTTACCAGCTTCCCTGTAGGCCCCCCCAACGATACTGGAAGGCTCCTCTGAGGTCTCCACACAAACTTTTCTCCAGGCTGAACAGCCTCTGATAAGGACAGTAGAACAGTATTTCACTAACTTGATAAGGAACAACACTTTACTTCTTACCAAGGACAGTAAAACAGAACAGCACAGCCTTGGAGAAATAAATAAAGGATGTAACTTAGGCAAACAGAAGTCATGCAAAACGCAAGCAGGATGCCAGCTCAGCTCTGCAAGGCTGAAATAGTAGAAGTTAAGCAAAACAGTGGTGCTGTACTTAATCAAAAACAGGGGTCAAAGAATAGCCCCCTGAAAAGGACTATTGATGGACTTTGATGACGGACCCCAAAGACCCAACAGAAGGACTTAGATAACGGTTGCGACTGTGTAGAATAAAGTCAAGGAAATGGGGATAGCTAATGAATATGTAATCAATATTTATGATAAAAACTGTACACCTGACAGTCGGGGCATCAATTAGAGGAAATATCCTCCAAATGCCCAGCATGTTGTAATAAAGAATGCCTGCTATCTAATACTCAGAACTGTGCTAGAAAGTTTCTATCCAGCTAATTGTGGTACCACGTCTCTCTATCTGTCTTCACAGGAGAGGTGTCTGTCATGAATTACAAGACAGATGTCTGCTAGGGAAGGCAGAAAAACCTCCCTTGGAACGGAGAATATAAACCCCCTCCCTCCGAATTCTTAGAATCTTGAAATTAAGGGGCTCTCAGACAAAGATATGGGAATAGGAATAACAGTTCTTTACTGGTATGTATAATAAAGCAAACAAACAACAACGACGTCGGCACTGACACCGAACAGAACCCCAACCCAGTCCCAGCCTTCCGGCTGCGGCGCTTTCCCTTCGGAGCAGTGCCGGGCACGGCCGGCAGGGGCGCTGCTGCTCCCGGTGACTCCCCCGCGCCCGCAGGGGCCGCTCTGGCGCGGGCTCGGGGAGCACGCGGCAATGGCGGCAAGGCCCAGACGGGAAGGGATGGAGGAGCGGCTTTGCTCCACAAACCCCTGGGGGCGGCCGATCTCGGCGACCCTAACAGGACTCTCGGAAGCAGCAGGCTGCAAATGGCAGGAATGAGCAGAAATCCTAGGACAGTGAACAAGAATGTCCCAAAACTCCACGGCAAAAACCTGGAACCTGCGGGGTGCCCTGGCAGGGCAGGGGAGTGCGGGGAGCCCAGCAGCAGCGGAAAGGTTCCCCGCTGGGTCACGGTGGTGGTAGGAGAAGGCAGCAGGAATGAAGCCTCACAGCGGTGGTGAATCCTCTCCACAATGCCTGCAGCCTGTCTCCCCTGTGTGCTGAGACAGCAAGAGCCAGCCAGGAACTGTCCTCAGCCCCTTCTTTCAGCCTGAATAACCCTGTATCTCCACCCCACCCTGAAAAACTCCCAAAAACTAAAGAGTTCCCCTTCCCCACCTGTCTCAAGCCATCAGTTCTGATTAGCAACTCAATGGGAAGAAATTTACAGGTTCCTACAGGTTTCCACAGGAAAGAGCAGAAAAAACCAAAACCTAACCCCCAACAGTGTTCCAGTCTTCATACCAACTTTGTGACCACCCTTTGGACTTGCTCCAACTGTTCCATGACCTTTTTATGTTGGACACACCAAAACTGTACACAGCACTCCAGGTGGGATCTGACAAGAGCACTTTGTGACCACCCTTTGGACTTGCTCCAACTGTTCCATGACCTTTTTATGTTGGAGACACCAAAACTGTACACAGCACTCCAGGTGGGGTCGGACAAGAGCAGAGTAGAGGGGAGAATCACCCTCAGCCTGCTGGCCATGCTGCTTTTGGTGCAGCCCAGGATTCAATCATGGTAGACACTGGTGGACTTGGATTAGGCTTTAGACATTACCTCCCATAAAGCACAATGCTCCCAGTCTGGAAAATACACTGTTGATGAAACTTCCATGGCAGACCCAAAGACTATGGCAAAGAGCCCAAAAGAGCAGTGGATGTTGGAAGAACAGCATGGTGTCTGAGCCATGCTTGACAAGATCCCATTTCCACTACCATTCATAAGAGATCACTATGGGAAAACTGTCCAGTGTGCTGCAGGATGAGATAACATCTGAACATGAATCTTGAAGAAACATCAAGATTCAAACTGTCCAAAATAAAGTGGAACCTAGAACCTAGAACCTAGAACCAGACAAGATGGTTTTGGACAGGTGGCTTTGGCATTTCCTCATGAGTAGCTCAGACACCACACCAACTGTTGTAGATTTTAGCCCCCAGAATCTGACTTTCTCTCATTTATGTGACAAACGCCAATCACTTGTTTTTAAAATTTTTAAAAGTTTAATCATAATAAAATGGTTAAAACAATAGTAATATAATTAGAGTAATGAAATTTGAACAGTTGAGATTAGGACAATATGAGACTATAAAAACAAAGAGATACAGACGTCCGGGTACCTTTTTCTGGGCAACACAAGCCCGAAGAAGGACACCCATTAACAGAGGATTAACCCTTAAAAACAATCACCTGTTGCACATTCATACACCTCATACCTGATGCATAAATTCCATTCAAACACAGGACTTTTTCTGGTAATCTTCAACATCTCCTCTTAATCCTAATGGCATCTTTTTGACTGAAAAAAGCGGGAAGAAGTTAGTTTTCTGCTGATAAGGAAGCAATCAATTCTCTTTCTCTGAAAGATTTAGGTGTCCTGTGGCTGCTATCTGGTGTGAGTCCTTTCTTTAAAAAAAGTACCTTACATAGCATAGTTTCTATTTTAGCATTATGTTATAACCTAAAACTATACTTAACACACTACTTAAGAAACTTAATACAGCATAACTTTCTAACATAACACATATAATATTAATTTTAATACTTGCGAAAAGGAATCATAAAATAGACATTTTTCACAATTTACTAGCCAGAAGAATAAGACATCTTCCTTAGCATTGTACATTTTGTTCCCAGACCTAAATTAACTTCCTGGCATTTCAAGACTGTGTACCCCCCCCTAGGTCTGGCCCTTGATGATCCAAAGTGTAATCCAAATACTGTGTTTGATCTCAGCCTCCTACTCTGTACACAGCAGCCCCACTTCCTCCTTTTTAAATTTTATTTCTATTTATACAGTTAACAGACCTTTCCGCACCCATCTTCACAGATCTTTGCAAGGTCTAACGCAGCTTGACTTTTGGCATTTGATGCTATATTCCTACAGTTTTTGACCTTCAAAACATAGCTGCGTAGACTGACTGACCTCTTTATCTGTTCCCACAGAGTGTTTACACCTAGCATCCTTCCTTGAACAGTCAATTATCCAGGTAACTCTGGAGAACGTCCTTGTTAGTCTTCCCTTTGTTTAGCATACAAATTCCAGAAGGATTTTCTACCTCTGATGTAAAATCTCATACACACTCATATGCAATCCCAGAGCTTGTCAAATTGATTAACTCCAGTCACTACTTTTCTTAAATTTATATTTTCCCTGTGGAAAAACAAATAAACAAACAAAGCCCAGAAAGATATTTTTTAACCTCTTCCTCATTCTACTGAAATGCTATCAACACTCTGGTCCAATTTTTTTTTTTTATTGTAAGTAGTTCTTCTATAATATGTTCACTACCAAAAATACACCCCAAATACATGCCCCTTTTCTTGTGGAGATACACAAGTGTAATACCACATCCCTTATTCTTGAGTTTGCAACTCTGACTCACATGGAGCTGTTTCCCACCATGACCCCCAGACCCCTTTCTGCAGGGCTGCTTTCCAGCCACTCCTGCCCCAGTTTATACTTGTGTCTGGCATTACTTTGTCCCAGATGCACAATCTGGTATTTGGACTTGTTAAATTTCATGCTACAAATCATAGCCCAGTATTCCAGTCTCTGTAGATCCCCCTCTGCAAAGCTCCCAGCTCCTCAAAAAGCCAAAAGCACCTCCCAGTTTGGTATCACCAGCAAACTCAGTAAAGGTGCACTGCACTCCTGCATCCAGATCATTGGGAAGTACAGGAACAGGACTGGCCCTGGAACTGATCCCTGAGGAGCACTGCTGGGGACCGGTCACCAGCTGGATGTAGCCCCTTTCACTTTACAGCCCTTTGAGCTCTGCCCTTCAGCCAGTCCTTCACGCAGGACGGACTGGTTTTACATGCCATGTTCTCCCATACTCACATCTTGTTTCTGTCGTCCTCCTACATTGCTCACATAGACCCTCTGCACCCTCTTCACAGAACGGGTCAGGCTGGAAGGGACCAC